TCAACTGCAAAAAAGGTCTCAGTTCTGGAACAACCCCAGGAAAAAGATTTTGAGGAAAGCCAGAAGAACATCTGTGTTTTCTGCTGTGACTCCTGCCCCTGTAATACATTATTAAAGAACATGGGGAAGAGATGCACAAAGAACTCCCCAGAATGCTCCTCTCAGAGCCCTCTCCAAGACATGTCTTTGTAAGAAAAATAAAACACAAAACCAGAAATCCCAGGACTCCTGTGCCTGTAGATCCTTAAGACTCTGGTTCTTTTAAGCAAACAAGGAAAGGCCAATGGAAGCGTTTAGGTGAGGATGGTCTTATTTTAGGTTTACATGCAGAAACCACGTAGTCATAAACTTAGTTTTTGCAATCCCACCTTAAGTGTTCCCAACAAAACAGCTTTTGTTCAGCTGCATAATTTCCAAAAATGATTTATTCAGCCAGCTATCAATGATCAAGTTTTATCTGGCTGGAAGAAACACACCCACGAACAAACAGCCAAATGAACCTGATTTTACAGATTTCTGGCAAATGTGATCTTTCACAAAGAAATAGAACCAGGCTTAAAAATGCAGTTCTTGCAACTGCTTTTAACATAAAGGTCAGAAGGGAGCACACACAGTCTGCCCAGAGATTAAGAGCCAAGAATATTCCCAGAGTTCCCGGTCAGCAGGAAAACCACTGGTGGGACACAGGAACACAGGAAACTGAATTTTTGTTTTCCAAATCTGGTGGACAGACTCCACTTAGCTGTCTAACACTGATTTGCTTCCAAGTCGAGAGATATTCCAAAAATAAAGACTCACCATGTTTTCCTTCGGGGGATCACAATTTCTTCTTGAGTTACTATGAGAAAAAACATTAAAATGCTCATTAGAAACAAAGAGATGCCCAAGGGAAATGTTAACCTCACTGCTGTGGGTGTCAATCTCTTCTCCCAAGTAACAGCACAAGAGGAAATGGCCTCAAGTTGGAACTAGCAGTGGAGACATCTCACCTTCTGAACTGTCCACAGCCTTCCCAAGGGCTGTGCTGCTCGAGGAGCACCTACAAAACAATCAGAGTTTTGAATTTATTGGCAGTCACAATAGTATGGCAAGAGCAGATCAACAAAATTCTGTACTACAGACCGGAATTAATTAAAACCTTAGAGGGGAAGAGTAACTGGAAATGTTGCACTGTTACAAACTCCAAATTATTATCATAAAACTCTTATTTGATGCTTCTCTTAAAGCCCTAATTTCAAGAGACAATGCCATAAACAAAAAAACCTAATACAAAAAAAAATCTGTAAATATTTAATTTATAAATTTAATTTACTTTATGTTTTAGAGGTAGGACCTGGAAGTCCCATAACTTGATAAGGTGTGATTTTGCCACTCCAGACGCGAGTTATATTTTGCCCACAGAGTACCCAGGGGAGCAGGGCCAAGGCACACCCTGAACAAAACCTCCCAGTTTCACAGAATCACAGGACGTTAAGGGTTGGAATGATCTTAAAGCTCATCCAGTCCCAAACCCCCTGCCGTAGGCAGGGACACCTTCCACAGATCTTCCTGGCCTTGGACACTTACAGGGATGGGGCATCCACAACTTCTCAGTGCAACCTGTTCCAGTGCCTCATCACTCTCACAGAAAAGAATTTCTTCCCAATATCTAATCTAAATTTCCCCTCTTCCAATTTACTTGGCCATTACTACTTGGCCCATCAGTACAGTCCCCGACAAAGAGTGCTCTCTCCAGCTTCTCCGGACACTGGAAAGTTGCTACGAGGTCTCCACTCAGCGTTCCCTTCTCCAGGCTGAACAGTCCCAACTTCCTCAGCCTGTCTCCGTAGGGGAGGTGTTCATCTGCTTTTTCGTGAGACCCAGCTCTAGGAAGCGCTTAACAGCTAAAACCCTGTGCCGGGTCGGCTCGGAGACGTCCAAAAGTAGAGAGGAGGCCGAGGGAAGGCGCCTGAGGGGGAGAAAGATCCCCAAGGAAGGCGTTCTCCTCACGCCGCGCCGGCCATGCCGGCCACAGACGGTTCTGCGCATGCGCAGCCTTTCCCGCCTCACTCCCCACACCCCCCTCACCCCCCGGCCGTCGATTCCTCCCCGGTGCCGTCGCCATCGCTCGGCCGTTCCCTCCCGGCGGACCCTCACCGGTAGCTCTCCCGCCCGCCCGGGAGGCGGCCCCGCCGGCTCAGCCACAGCGCTCGCTGCCAGCAGCCGACCCCAACCCTGCGCCCCGCCATGCTGCTTCCCGCGCGCTGCCCTCTGGGAGGGGGGCGGAACCACTCCCGCTCCTGAGGGGTGTGGGCGGTACCGCCCCGGCACGGCAGTGGTGCCGCCCGGCCCCGCCCCCCCTGCGGCCCGGAGCGCGTGGTGCAGCCCGCGGCGCGGCACCCCCGGCGGGAGAGCGGGATCGGGAGTCGGCCGGGGAAAGCTGCTCGTTCGCCATGAAGCCGCCCAAGGTGGTGCCGTGGCGGCGGCTGGTGGGGGTGTCCTTCGGGATGTACACGGCCGAGGAGATCAGGTGAGGCACCATGTGCACGCGTCCCCCGCCGTACGGATGCGCTGAGGACTACAAGTCCCAGCGTGCCCCGCGGCGGGGCGCCGGTGAGTTGCTGCTGGCTTTGGCGCGGGGCGTGCTGGGATATGTGGTCCGGCTGAGCCGCGGCCCGCACCGACCACCGTGCGGTGGAGGCTGCTGAGTTTTGTACGAACTCTCCCGCACCTCGAGGGGACAAACAGAGACAAAATTACGTGACTTCTTAATAGAGTGGCTACAGATGTAAAAGAAGTATTTGTTGCGGGGTGAATGATTGTGCTCAGACGATGGAATCAGTGATGCAGAAACTCCCCGTGTGCAAAGTGCCCTAAAAAAGATGTTTTCACCAATTAAAAAAAAAATCACACAGATACTAAATGCCCATGCTAGCTGTTCCATTAAAGTGCACGTGGTGTGTGTGATAAGTAAAGGCACCGGTTTTTTATTCCAAGCAAATTAAAATAAAAGGGAGGTACTAACAAAAAAACTATTTCTGTATATTTACTAACTTCTAGGCGTACCGTAGAGTCTGTAAGGTGAAAGGTCCTGTCTGGACCTAACACCAGGGAATCTTTTGCGGCCGGGAACAGGGAACAAATAATAAAT